CGCTAGTTGGGTATCTCGATCCTCCATCACAACCACATTGACTGGCTTCAGTCGACTATTTGTAATGAAAGCGCGGGTTTAGAACACAATCAGCCACACCGAATTGTTTGATAGAGGAATAATGGAATCGTGCTGTAACTGAGAGAAGGTACATGAACCGCCATCACAACATGTCCGGAACACGAGCGCAGCGTTGTTATACTCTGAACTCGGTGTAGAAGACATCGAACTTATGCCATCTACTCTTGCGTTGCCTTATTCATGCGTAAGACAGCAAAACTGGAGAAAGTATAATTAACGACCTCACCCTTTCTTCTCTGTCTCTCTATTACAGGGCCTCATAAGATTCGATGCGGTTCGCCTTAGAAGTCAAGGAGTGGACACGTACTATGAAAAAAACGTGCAGATCGAAAAAGCCCTCTTATTTCTTTACACTAGTTTTAATTCTTAGAAATAAGCAATAAAACATTACCTTGAGGAAGCAGACAGCATAAACTTAATTTGTGTGTTTCAGCTTCAAGTCCGAATACAGTCAAGTGCAAATGAAACGTTTTTTTATAATAAAATATGAGAAAATGGAGTTGTGAATTCCTACCGGGAACTGCGAGATATATATTACGAAAATCTGTTTATATGATACGCTTATTCTGATATAACGTTTATGATACGCCTTTAAAGACATGCCCATTATATGCTACGAACAAATAGTCAATGATGAGGCAGATTGTCCTTCCTGATCTATTGTTGCTTGCAGAGAGGAGCAGAAAGATGACGCAATTAGAGAAAAGCAAGAAGGTAAAGTCAACCACGTTGCAATTGGTGTGCATATCATGTGCCTATCCTGGAAAATGTTTCGCGTCAGAACTCGTACATGCAGAAAACTTATAGCCAGTCACTATAGCGACAGGCGGTGATATCGAGATTACTGCCTCAGTGGCCAACTCCCATACTGCAAAAGCCGAAGAAGAAGATCTGTGCCCTGCTTATTCTTTTTTTTTTTTTTTGACACCCTGGCGTCTGCGTTGCCTTCAACGTCTTCAATGACACCATGCATGCCACAAGGACTACATCAAGCCTATCATGCTGTGAGTCGCTGACGTCATCTATCGTACCCACTGTGTTGTGGTTCCAAAACCTCAGCAGAGGTTGACTTGAGTTGAATAAAATCTACCGTACTTCCTTTTTTTACTGACTTCATATTCTCTCACCACCTCCCTCCTCCAAAAGCTCCAGTCACTCTGGTCCCTGCTTTAATTACACTTGCATTCGCGTGGGGCGCTTTTCAAGGTTGGCATTATAATGTAATTGAGACGCGTGAATGTCAGTTAGACATCAAAATTTAGTGCGCTATCTGCAAGGTAACTGCTATGCAGATTGAAAACACACTTCCAAGTTACACGTCGTCATTCGGCCTGCAGCAGTAACGAGTAACTATAAACTTGCTCGTAACTACAACGACTGCAAATCTATACCCTTAATTCCTTCCGCGCACCAAACTAATTTCTAAAAAGACTCTCCAAAATATATTCTCACTGCATACGATACGTGTGCATTAGCGCAGCAGGGAGAGAGGAGGGATGTTCTTGCAACTTTTTAATTATGCATGTGCATATACACTCGCACAAACACACGAACCCTTGCAACGAACGCGTATAAAGGTTGGCTGACCCTTCCTCGCGCTTCCCCTCCTTTCCAAAAAAAGAAAAAAATGTAATGGTGCGCCCCTGTAATACGGACGTGTAAATGCGTGGACGTGCACCTCGATTTAACTTGTCGCAGCACTCACTTGACATCACTGAAAATTAAGGTTGGTAATGCACTGAGAACGCGTATACTCACGGCACGGGGAGAACCTGAAAGTGTCACGCATAGTGCAAAAACTCATATTCATTGCAGAACATCGACACATAGAGAGACAAAAAGAGGTCCAGCTGCGCAAGCAAGTCGAAAAAAAAAGTGAGGTGTGACAGCCATTGAGCACAAGTATTGTACAGCCCCCCTCATGCAACCTACCGTCATACAACCCCAGTGCCCCCTTGCTATAGCTGCCCTGTTGCCCCGGTGCTCCCATTAATGCCCTGTTGTGTTTCTTTATTTCATACCCAAAGGAGGTGTAACATGATGCCTTAACTGAAGCGCATGTATCGCTAACTGCAAAGTTTGTGATAGAAATGTATGCGTCCCACTGTAAAGCTTTCGTAAAAAGGGAAGACCGTCGCGGTAATAGTAAAAACACCTGTACATCTCATTTTTCTTTTCTTTCTGGTATATATATATATATATATATATATATATATATATATATATATATATATACCTCACCCACAGAGTTGCTGATTAGCACTGGCATATTGGCCTACAAATATCTTAATCTCCCAAGAGCATAAATCTATTATATTATGTATTGACAAAATACGAGGAAAGAAAGGTTGAGGGGGCCATACTTGGGGTGCCTTTTTTTTTGTCGCTGTTGGCCTTATTCATAGATAAAAAGTTATCCTCATCATGAACCAACATGTGCTATCTTCAATCACTTCTTCCCCTTCTGCTTTGCTACCGGAACACGCGTGCCTATTTGTCTGGCGTGGGATGCATTAACTCGCATCGGTAAGAGAATGAGCACAGAGAGATAGAGAAAGAGACGGAATTCTTGGCCAAAAAAAAAATTCTTTACAAGGCGTGATTCGAACCCGTGTACCCATAATCTGGCGCTGAGCGTCGCAACAACCAGGCTTTCAAAGTATGCTAGCGGAACATAGCATAGCCTTGTACTTTATACTTTAGCCAAGAGGTGGGAAAGGGAATTGAGGGTGAGGACAAACGTGAAGGTGACTCTGCAAAAGGGGAGGGAGGAGCGAGAAAGTAAAGCATAGCACAGAAAGAGAAATAGAGAAAGAAAGAGAAAGTGCAAGAAGAAAAGAGTAGAATACACATATACAACAGAGGGAAAAAAGATCAAGCATAATCATGCATTGTATAGCGCATAGTGAGGTGTGGGAAAGAGACAGGTGAGAGTATAAAAGACTAGCCAAGGGAGGACCTGCTAGGCGCTGACCAGCTCTGCCGGGAACCAGCCTTGAGCGACTTACTGCGCCATTTTTTTTCATCATAATAGTGCAAGAAGCGAGAGACAAGCACACGCCAGTGAAAGGACAACAGCCTTTTTTTTTTATACCCGAGTAATCGTCCTGAGGATTTACTTGTCTTTTTTTCTCGGAAACTGTACGCTTGTTTCTTCCTTATGTACTAATGCCATCTCAAACCAACAGCATGTGCACTGTTCATGACGTGTTGAACTATGCTACTTACGGCAATGCTTGAAAGGTTTGAGAGATAGGCGATATTTTTGTGTAGTAGAAATATGCCCCTTGTTGAGTGTAAGACCGTGGGTGTGTGAGGGTTTAGGGTGGTTATTTGGGGACAAAGGGGCAAGATAAGCCCGCAAAAGTGTAGGCTGTTATTAAGAATGCATTCCTTATGAAAAATTTGCCTAGAGAGAAAATAAGGACCGAAGATTGGGAACAATAAAAAGTTCATTTGGGTACAGATAGGCCCATCAGAGTGCAAACATTTATTAATGCACAGTTGGCTCATCGCTTTTGCGCTCAGAGTGAGATTACAATATGGAGCCCTCTCTTGTCTTAAGCCTGAGGAATTGTTTCCAGACCGAAGGTGAAGCGGCTCGCTGCACCACTTGCGAAACGCGGCAGTGCGTCTTCTGTGGCAAATAAACGTAGTACGCAGGCGCCAAAGCACTGCGATGCACGCTTCGATGGCTGATGTCGTGCCATAATGAGAACCACGAGAATCACGTGACGGTGAACACATCTTGCTCGTGCTCTGTCGTCAGATGTATCTCTAAGTGCTCTCGCAGAACTAGCTGACCATAATCCAAGCACCCAATTTCGACCAGCCAGTTATGAAACGGTGTGCTGTCGGAAAACATAAATGTAAAAGCTTTCTTCGGAATGTATATTGAGCACATCTCTCTTCCTTCACTAACAGGGAGGACATAAAAATTTAGTAGCGATAACACATCATTACCTACTATTATAACATTGCAATGGCATTCCCGTGACACTTCTGTTATGTGCTTTTGCATTATATAATTGGCCCTGCTCTGCAAATCTCAACCAGCACGTCAGCAATCCATTCTTTCATAAAGTCGTTATCACCGCATTTTGGTGTCCATCTGTGACAACTCGCTCTTTCTTGCGTGAAGCTCTCTTGATTGACCAAGCTATGCAATAACAACTAGCTTCTTGGGGCAGCCTCAGAGGCTGCATTTGCATGAATCGGTTAGTCATTCAGTGAAACCTGCGGTCTAATGCTGCCCTTCGTGCATGAAATCCAAGAATGACAATTTATGATGTGTTAGCATTTATCTTCCAGAAATAATACAGCAAATACTTTAACCCTCTTTAAAACAATCAACCCATAGTAAATAATATTCACCAGAAAACACACTATGACCAATGGTTCACTGTTCTAACCCAATAGCAAACAAACATTTTTCTGTATTTCAGTTATGCACAGATACCGCCTTTGATTACAAAGCAGCTATTTAACTACGCTTGGCAACTCCAAACTAACTCTTCTAACATACGCCAACACACTGCAGGACTATGGCCGGTCACAGCATCACTAGAACTCTACTGATGTAGTGTTCCAGTAGAGTTGCAGTGATGTTGGTACTGCTATGACTATGTTACTGACTAGCGGTATACAGTCCAGTACACTTTTGTGCCAGTTTTGCCTCACCTTCAGCCGGCTTTGGTCGTTCCGCTCATGGTGGACAAACAGTGTCGGAATCGAACCGAACAAGGAAATGTGGAGAGTGCCATTGAATGATTTAGCGCTGTTTGTTCAAGCAATAACTGTTAACAAGTACAAAGCTTTATTGCGGCATTATTCCGACTTGAAATGAACATTTCCTGTTTTCAGGCGGCGCCGTCAGTTCCTAGCGCGGGCAGTGATAAATGTCCGATCCTCCGACGAAATCACTTCGCTCCTGTCCCGTGCGTTCTTCGAAGGTGACGGTTGAGCGAACATCGTTGCGAGAACACCTGCGGACACAGGTGGCACTCAAAGGGCTTCGCTCCAGAGTGCGTAAGATAGTGGGCCATCAGGTTCCCTTTGAGAGAGAAGCGGCGGCCGCACACGGTGCACGAGAAGGGCCTGTGACCCGTGTGCGTCACCAGGTGCCGCCGCACGGCCGAGCGGCTGCTGAAGATTCGCTCGCACACACCGCACACCCGGGAGCTTATGGCCGGCCGCCCGCGCTTGGGTTTTGGCGGTGGCGTCACGGGCCTATCGGCGGCTGCCCTATAACGGGATAGTACAGGGGTATTACATCAAAAACTGAAGATTAAATGTGGCTCAAGACAGTGTTCATTTGAATAGTTTTATCCAGCCAGACAGATCTACACGTATGCTAGCTTGACAACTTAGCACATCGCTTCATTTAAATTGTAGTGCTAAATGGCAATTGTAGTGCGATAGGTGGCATTGCTATATGCCATCTATTGGCATTTAATTTGAAAAAAAAAAAACTGGCCGTATGTTTCGAGACCTGTTTAGACTCTTTGGCTCCGAAGCTACTTTTTAGTCGTCACCCTTTCTATCCTTGTTCTCATCTTTCCTGTTAAAGAAAACAATGCATCAACAGAAACATTCACCCCTGAAGAAGAGACCGAATGAGTCTTGAAACATAGCGCCAGTTTTAATATGAAAAACTTAAGACTAAACTTGGCTAAAAAATCTGTTTATTACATTATAGAAATACTGCCCGCGGGCAACGTGGTCGCCCTCGGACTTAATAGGAGGTATTCACTATAGTGTGCCAGAATGTGGTACACTATATATTTACTAAGCTCTTCCCGCCAGATGGCGCCAGCGAGGGCGCCGCCATCGTCGTGGTTCGTCAGCGATCTACCACATGACAGCGTTACTTTTCTCGTCGCTGCACCTCACTAACCCGTTTTCTTAGAAAAATATCAACGTTGCACGTGCCGTCGAGAACTTTGGTTTTGGGACCGTCGAAGACGTTCACGCGCGAAACCACACGTACTGCAGCTGCCGCGCCTTGCGGATGACGTCGCGTGAATACTTCCCTTTCTATACGGAACCTCGCAGTGACGTTCACAGCGACGTCAAGAATGTGCCTGGAGTGTCGATACTGTTCCTATCGCGATGAAATAAACAAAGACAAATGTTCACCCTGTGTCGCTTTCCGCGCCGCCCGCATCTTCGGAATCGCTGACGTCGTTTTTCTCGGCATCCACATTGCTGCTGCTGGACGCCGCGGAAGCCGCCGCTGTTGAATTATTCGCTTTGCTGGCCATAGGTTCTGCACAGGTAAATGAAAGGGTTATGGGCGACTGCGATGAAGGAACGCCAACGAAAAATATGTGGTTTCAGCCTGCGAAAACGAGAAGCAAAAGACGATATCAAGATCAGCTACGGGCTGTCCAGAAGGTCCACGGTGTCGCCATAAGGCTTGGCCTGAAGGTATACCGACGTGGACGCGGTCCACCAAGGTCTAAAAAGACCGGGATCCAGGACACTAATGAGGTTTTGTAAATTAATGAATGAACACTTCCTGTTGTTCGACACGCAGTTTTAAGAGGCCCACAGATTTATTTCCTCCACCTGGGATAACAGTCTTGACCTCCTTTATCGTTGCCGAGTGTGGCTTAGCCGCCAAAGTGTCGCGCTGCTCAGATCGAAGACACGGTAGGGATATTTCAATGAGGCTGGGTGAAATAACCCCCCCCCTCCAAAAAAAATATAAAAGTGTATTTAGATTCAGGTGCATGTTAAAGAATTCTGTTTGTCTACTATTAAACAGGAGTTTCCCGCTACGGCGCAACTCTTTATAACATGGTTTTCACTGAAAAAAGTTCGCCGCTCTTCAGAACGCGAACCTTCGACTTCAGTCTAGCCGAGCAACCAAAAGCGCAGCTTTCAAGCGGACGCTGTCATGTCGGCAAAAGTTCAGCGAGACCGGATATTTCACTCACAGCCTCACTCTATTCGATAATATATATATATATATATATATATATATATATATATATATATATATATATATATATATATATATATATATGTGTGTGTGTGTGTGTGTGTGTGTGTGTGTGTGTGTGTGTGTGTGTGTGTGGTGTGTGTGTGTGTGTGTGTGTGTGTGTGTGTGTGTGTGTATAATATGCGGGCACACGCAATTGCGGCGTGACTAGGTGCAGGTAGCTCACTTTTGCCTGGAGTTAAGACTACTTTTTGTGTTCTCAAATATTGTTTAATTGGATATGTTTGAGTAACTAGGTTTTGAAGGAGCGAGGATGGATAGAGGTTTCAATGAGAGGGTTGTGGATTGGTTTGTAAAACGTCCGATTAGACAGTTTACACTTTATATCTGTTAGGTATTGGCGTTTTTCTGCTAATTACGGGTGCCCGCGGGGTACAGAAGGGTACCACGTGGCAAGCTCGCTCGTGCGCCGGTGCACGCAGTGATTCTGGTGCTCCCTGGCGTTCCGCGTGCGAACGGCCATAGCATTTGCCACATCGTGCTTTCTCAGCAGGGCCGCAATGCTGATGGTGGCGGCTTTACGATGAACAAGTTTTGCTATCGGCCACAAAAACTATAACCGCTGTGACTGCTTATCGCTGTCATGAACCGGTGCGAGGGAAGCGTGTCGTTCGTACGCGGAACGTTGGGGAGCGCTGGAGACATGGTGTGCACTGGCGCGCGGGCGGATATGTCGCTTGGTATTTTTTTGGATTCCGCAGGCGTTTGTATTAAGCAGAAGGACGCTAATGATAACAGATATGAAGTTCAAAACTGTATATTCGGTCTTTTTGCAGACCGATCTACAACTTCCTCATTGAAATTTTTTATCCATCTTCGTTCCCTCAAATGTTGTTGATTGGACAGGTCTGGTTAAGCAATGTTTGAGAGCACAAGGAAAGTCAGTGACCTCCAGGCAACGGTGAGCAACATGCATTTGGTTGCGTCGTAATTGCGTGTTTCGGCACATTTTAAAACTCTGGCTAAAGTTACCTGGGACACACTGTGTGGGTATATATCATCATCATCATCAGCCTGACTACGTCCACTGCAGGAGAAAGACCTCTCCCATGTTCCGCCAGTTAATCCAGTCCTGTGCTTGCTGCTGCCAATTTATACCCGCAAACTTCTTAATCTCATCTGCCCACCTAACCTTCTCTCTCCCCCTAACCCGCTTGCCTTCTCTGGTAATCCAGTTACTTACCCTTAATGACCAGCGGATATCCTGTCTGCGCGCTACAGGCCCGGCCCATGTCCATTTCTTCTAATTGATTTGAACTATGATATCCTTAACCCCCGTTTGTTCCCTAATTCACTCTGGATATATATATATATATATATATATATATATATATATATATATATATATATATATATATATATACATATATATATATATATATATATATATGTGTGTGTGTGTGTGTGTGTGTGTGTGTGTGTGTGTGTGTGTGTGTGTGTGTGTGTGTGTGTGTGTGTGTGTGTGTGTGTGTGTGTGTGTGTGTGTGTGTGTGTGTGTGTGTGTGTGGTGTGTGTGTGTGTGTGTGTGTGTGTGTGTGTGTGTGTGTGTGTGTGTGTGTGTGTGTGTGTGTGTGTGTGTGCATAACACCTCGTGACACCATCAATCCCATCTGAAGCTGGAGGTCAACTATGAGATTACAAAGTTGTCTCACAGTGAACAAGCAAGCTTGGAAAGTGAACTTTGTAAGCCACTCCCTTCATTGTTTACCTCGCAGTTTTTTAACATGCAACACCTTACGGTAGAGAAGCCTTGTGAAGCCCCTCCATCGCGTCTACAGAAAACGCATGGAGGGGCTTACGAAGGGTATGCACTTGACATCATCCGCAAGAATCGCTAGCATCGGGGTCGCCATTTTTAAGGTGCGCGCGCTCGCCGCTCGCGCATAAAATTCGCTCTTCGTGCTGAATTCAAAATCCGCACAGCGATTCGGATGGTTACAGTCCTCCGAAACACTTTCTGCGCATCGAAACATGGACCGCACGACGGCGCGTATATAAACGGACGTTCAAAATGGCGCAGCGACGGTGTTGCCCTCTTGTGGATGAAGGCTCAGTGCATACCCACTATACGAGAGGTCGGCAACTTGCAGCCTGCAGTGCAGTATTATGTGGCCTTCGATAACGTTTTCTAATCCCTTTCCTTATCTATTCTTATCAGAAAGCCGAAACGTCACCTTTGACGTGTAACTCTCGCTTTCTTACCTGTGTTTGATAGCACCTTTTGTGACACGCTTACTGAAAATCAACGCGATATGCGATTCGGTTTCATAAAATAGTTATTGTCAATTAGCTGCAGTTTTTTTTTTTTTCTCTTTGCCTGCAAAACCCTCCTCCCGTTCTGATTGGCCGCCTGTCCCCCCGCTCTGTCGGCTTCATGCAAGTTGGCCCTCCGCCTTAAAAAGGGTGTATCTCCTATCTTTTTTTTTTTTTTGAACATTTCAAGTAAACACTCCGCATTCAGTTCATAATGTCACCGTGCACGCCAATCGCAAAGCGCGGCAGGGCCACAAACCGCGGGCGCACCGCAAAATTTAAAAAAAAATTCGTGCCCTCTCCGGGCATTTCGGTATCCCCAGCGTTGTCGTGGCGTCACTACCAACGTCTGGCGTTGAGAGCAACCGGGACCCGTTTGTGCGCTCGTGGGTACGTGCGGTCGCCACTCTTCCTCTTCGAAAGGTGAACTAGAAGAGCACACTCGTCCAAAAGAAGAAGAGGAGTCGACAAACGGATCGTAACGAAGCTTGTAGAGCGAAACTGCCGTTTTTGGATAATCAAATGCCTGTAGCTCCGCGGCATCGTTTCGAGGAATAGATCCTCTTCAAAATTAACAAACTAGTGGCCGCTATGCACTTACTGAAAACATTTGTTCAAGCGCCGATTGCATACGCTATGACGTGGAGAGTTTAGAGCGCGCACGATAGACTGCAGGCCCCGGCACATTCAGCTATAGGACCGCGTCTCCGCTTGAAGCACGATAGATGTCGCCATTACTCGTGCAAATATGCAGCGCACTTGCGCATTACGAACATGTTCTATTTTCACGGCTACGCGTTGGTTGGTTGTAGGCTGGTACACAGCTGCAACACCACGCCTAAAATTGACCTCTGGATGGTCTATGCGCCAGGTAGAGCGTAGTTGCCGAGAAGTTATGGTTCTCGGTTAATGAGGCTGCAGTAGGGGCTAGTTGGTACGTCTTCGGCGCACCAAACAGGCAGCGCATCAAAACGTAGGGTAATGTTTAAACGATGCGCGTAGAGACACTAAACCTCCGTTTGCTGAAACGTTGCGAACATGACTAGAGACGGCTGACCTTGGGTACACTGTACTTGCGGCTTCAGTGGTGCAGAGCAATGCTGGTAAACCGCCCCTTTCTCAACGCTTCAAGCTCGATGATAGTTATAGCGCGAGAGCGGGACGACGGCACAGAGACAAGAAGGACACGATTCTTGTCTCCGTGTCTTTCGTGTCCTTCTTGTCTCTGTGTCGTCGTTTTGTTCTCGCGCTATAACTATCTTCATGCCATACCAACTAGCCCAAGCTGCCACACTTCTAAGCTTCAAGCTAGTCGAGTTCGGTCGCGCTAGTGGCCTCGCCGACTTACCGACTGGCTGAGTCGATGAGGTGTCCGAGCAGAAGAGATGCCTCGCCGAATGAACCGCGCTGGCGCTTGGAGATTGGCTGGCCCAGCACACTGCGCGACATGGCACAACCCACTACAGGGTAGGGCCCACCAATCGGACTACGGTTTGGTAGTCCGAAACAAGACATGTGCTAAGTTAGATGTAAGACGGAAAAAGGGACCGTAATACGGTAATTCGTTTATTTGCATACAGCCGCAGGCATATTTTAGCTTTAGCGTGAAGGAATGGTACGCGGACGAATATTGTTAGTGGGTCTAGTCCATAGTAAAGGAGGAGCGGCGACAACAGCAACAGAGGTGGAAGAAGAAGAAGATTAACGTGCAGTACTGGCTGGCACTCGCCGTTCAGCTCATTGTAAATAAACCTCGCTTACAATCTCCGTAACAATACATGCCACATCACTCACATGGTACCAACGGCGGGAGTGTGATATGACATCAAAGTAAGATGAAATCAGAAGGGTATAAGAATAACCCAGACAGAACAGTCGGTGACGTTTGTGCTAAGCGATTCCGTGAAGTGAGCTATATATGCATCCGGCGATGCAGTTTACGAGTTCTGATGGTAGCGCCAGAACACACAGCCTAGCGAGTAGGCGCAACAAAACCGAGTCTTCTAATGCCTAGCCTAGCGAGTAGGCGCAACAAAAACCGACCTTGCACGTGCATATCAATTTTTTTTTAGTTGTGAGCAAGGGGGTCACGGCCGATTATGTAAGCGCCCAGGAAGCGTTCTTTGGAAACGTGCTAAAAAGGACACTGACGCTTCAGCGTGTCACTGTGTTGAGCGAGCGTTCCATTCTTTTAGTATCCCTGGTGGTCGGTACCAACAATTCTGAGGTGGCCCAAACAGCTTCGTCGCGCCCTCTGGTTTACTGTCGGGTGCCTATGGTATAGAAAGCACGTTTCTTGCTGTAAATGAATGCATCAAATATAATTGTATTAGGTACTAAGCTTAAGTTCACTCCATTTGTTGAATGGAGCGAACCGCTTGAAATAATTGTGCCAAATAAAAAAAATGAAGGACAGTCAAGAAATTATGACCGGGAGCTTTCCTCACGTGTTACGTACCCGCTATGCGAAGCGGGGCAGTGCTGCCGCGTCGCGGTTGCCAAGGTGACCGAAGGGCTAGTTGCCTCGCCTTTGCGGTGTGTAAGTAAATTCAAGCCACTAGACGTACTTCAACAAAATGAACACTTTATTAATTACCCGACACAGAATGTAATCGGGAAGTAATTTTAAAATGGGATGAAATATATAACACATACATCCCAAATCAATCGAATTTGGCAAACTCAGCTGTCTGATCTGGTCCAAAAATCAGATTGTCGTTATCGTAGTAGTGATAATTTCCCCTTTTTTTTTGTTTCTCACCTTCTTGCTCTTCATTTTTGTAATGTTTTCTTTCTTTTACATTATTTTTGTTGGTAAGCAATAGTGCAGTTACCGTCCATAGGATACTATGTTTTCTTGGCCCCTCCCCCGGTATGCGTATGTGCCATGGTATCCAGCCTACAAACAAACAAAAAACAAACGAACAAACAAACAAATACCCCCGCAGTATGTATGCGCCACAGTTAATAGGCGAACAAGAAAAAAAATAAAAATAATTGGCCCCGTCTCTGCATGTAATCTGCAAATGTCGTCGAAAGACGATAGTCTTGCGTGTGGAGAGAGTGAACAAAACATTTATTTGATGTTCTGCGCAAGAAAGTCGGTGAATGGTATTCCGGAGGCGCTGCGTTAGAGTGCCTCGAGCGTGCAGCGGAGGCAAACGAGCGCACCGAGGATGGATGGATGGATGGATGGATGCTATGAGCGTCCCCTTTATAACGGGGTGGTGACAAGTATGCCACCAGGCTCGACAAAAAAAAAAAAATTCTTTTTTTCCTTTTTTTTTATGTTGGCCTAATGCCTCTACTTCGATAAATTCTATCTTAATGGAAAAAAGGTAAATTTTCAGCTTAAGTTCTCTGCCATTTACGGCACACTGTCCATATTTTATTTTTCCAATATTTATTTTTGTCCTTTCTCTCTAATTTTCTGCCACCAATACTCTAACCGTCTCTTACTTATTTCAATCGCGGGTGTGTTCAGCTTTCCATTGTTGTCCCTAAAACCCAAGGCTTCCTGTAGGTTCGTGCCCAAACGTACACCTGGGTGGATATCTCCACATTCAATCAGAACATGTTCCGCCGTTTCCTTATCTTTCCCGCAGCATGTGCATTGTTCTTCTTCTTTACTGAATCTTGCTTTATAACTACGCGTTCTAAGGCAACCCGATCTCGCTTCAAACAGTAAAGCGCTTCCCCTTGAATTATCGTAAAATGCCTCCCTCCTTATTTCATTTTTGCCCTTTCGGTAGTTACTCAAAGCCGGTTTTTTCTCCATAGCTGCCATCCAGTAAATCCTCTCCGCCTCCCTGACTTTTCCCTTAACGCTCTTTGTTGACATATGGCTCACAATACCAGCCGTATATTTACTAGTGAGTCTTCTAGTTCTTTTTCTCCACTGTGTGTCCACGCTCTTCCTATACAAATAACGGAACACCTTCTCTGCCCATCTACTCTCCTTCATATTTCTTAGCCTTTCTTCGAACCTTATTTTGCTCTGCGCTTCCCTCGCCTCAAAACCGGCCCACCCCATATCGCCCTTTACAGCCTCGTTTGTCGTCTTCCCGTGAGCACCCAACGCGAGGCGTCCCACAGTCCTTTGATTTACATCCATTCCCGATTGCACCTCTGCCCTCATGCACACCACTGAGTTCCCAAAAGTAAGCCCTGGAACCATTACACCCTTCCACAGACCTCGAAGCACCTCATACCTATTGTATCCCCACAACGCTCTGTGCTTCATTATTGCCGCATTCCTCTTTCCTTTTGCTGCCGAGGCTTTTTCCTGTACCTCCATGTATCTATCACTCTCATTTACCCATACTCGAAGGTACTTGTATTCACTTACCCTCGGTATTTCTTGGCCTTGTATGGACACCGTCTGATCACAGGGATCATTGAATACCATCAAACCACACTTCGTTACACTGAATCCTAGTCCAAGAGCTTCACCTTCCCTTCCGCATATATTCGCCAGCTGCTGTATATCATCTCGACTGTCCGCAAATAATACGATATCGTCCGCATAAAATAAACCTGGAAGCTTCTGCTCAATCATCATGCCGCCCTGTTTGTGTGACAGATTAAAACCAATGTTGCTACCTTCTAGCGCTTTTTCCATACTCACCATGTACAGCATGAATAACAGTGGGGACAAAGGACATCCCTGTCTCAGACCGCTGCTAACCTCAACGTTCTCTTTGCTACGCATTCCTTCCCACTCTATGCAAACTGTATTTTCTCGGTATATCTCCCTCAAAAGCTGTATACAGTCGTCGCCCATGCCCATTCCTTTCAATATATCCCACAAAATTTCCTGATTAAAGGAACGGCATGGTACACACGAGCGCCATCTGGCATTTATCTTCGAAAACGAAGGAAGCTTTGCGAGCGTGCGGAGAAAGATGCGTGATAAGGCGTAGAACGCGCGGCGACGGGTAGGTGCCACTACCATCTCGTCTTAGCAAAGCGTTGGAAGCACTTCGCGTTCCGTGCAAGCGTTGCGTGGTAAGCGCAGCGTGCTAAGCGCTACGGTCTTTAAAATTACTTATGTATACGTTTTCTAGTAAGAGATGCATATGCAGAATATATGCGTGTTGTTATGGTGCCCTAGACATGCGCAATAATTGCTTTTTAATTGACCATTGCACAAGCATGAACGCTCAACCTTGAGCAACCTTGGTGGTCGCTGCGAATGGGGTCGGCCGTTTCAAGTACCCGATGCCGGTGAGAGTGGACAAACAGACAAATGCACAGACAGACAGACAGACTAAAATTTATGCGTCGAAGGTCCCCAAGAAAGACTATCGTCTTTAAAAAAAAAAAAAACGCCAGGCCTGCGCGAAAGGCGCAGCACAGTCACAGCGAAATCTGGAAGAGTGGCCTTTCAGAGCTTTTTCTATACACTCATTGGGCAACCGCTGCAAGCATAGTTGCTCAATGCCCACTACGGCAATATAACAATTTTAGGGTAGTAGGCCGGCATTCGCTACGCCATTTTTCGTCATTATTCTGAGAAGTGTGGTATCCGCTAAACTATTGCAAGAAATTTTGTGCCAGTTGTTCATGCAGTGGCTGACGACGATGGGGGAATTATGCCTGAACTGGGTATGTGCCACGGTTAATAGGTGAACAAAAACAAGCTTTTGTAATGGGGTCGAGTATCGGACGACCCAATCGTTACGCTATTCGCATTGTGCGACGACTGTTTGGTCTTTCGCTGTTTAAAAACGCTTTATAAGTCGTATTAGCGTGATTCTTTCCCGAAAAGAAGCCTGCGTAAGGCAAGTTTGCCAAAAAGTCCCAAGCACCGGCGTAGTTCAGTGGAAAATAAAAAAAAAAACCGGCGTAGCTCAGTGGTAGAATACTGGGCTGGCACCCAGTGGATCCGGGTTCGAGCCCCACTGTGTGTGTTTTTTTTTTGTATTTTCGCGTGATGTGGTTACGGACATCGGCGGCGGCGGCGGAAAACTACGGCGCTGCGCGAGACCAAAGTTGTGACTTCATAACAGCTTTCGCTGTAAAATGCGTCTGTCGAGGCAAGGCAAGGAGAAAAGGGAAGACGATCGAGGTGGCTAGTTCTTGGAACGCCCGAGAGGCTTTGCTCCTTCCCTTCAATGTTGATATTGTAAACGAGCAGAAACCGTGCAGCACTTTTCCACAGAATGCCGTTGGTATCGAAATTTAAGACGAAGATTTGTGACACTGCCTTTTCAAAAACATGGGCTGTCTGAAACGGTATTACTCTCCCTAAGGGCGTCAGCACTTGGTCCGTGCAACAGGGACATTTATGGAGTGGTCTATAATTATATAGTATGATAGTTTCGTACAATAACCTAGAGCGGTAGCTGTCGCAGCGATCGTTATACCACCATGTGAATGTAACCGTGACATCCTGCCGGTACACTGCTGGACAAACGGTGCACGCACCAGCGAAAACACAGTGGTGACTGCAGTAGGCACAGTATCTTTTGTCTATTGCACGAACGAAACTGAACATCAGACACTGCATCGCCATA